AACATCTTCGTGAATATGATTTGATCACAAAGACACTGTCAATATTTATGAAGTTGGTATGTAAGATTGGATGACATCATCATAAGAAATTAAGTGAAGTTTTGATCAGGGGGAGTATAATATGTGTTGCACTCTTTTTTTCTTGATCGAGGTTTTGTCCCACTGGGTTTTCCTGACAAGGTTTTTAATGAGGCAACAAATAATGTGTATGGAGGCACATAATCTATGGACATCCAAGGGTCTTTCCTAGTAAGGTTTTAACGAGGCACATAATCTATGGACATCCAAGGGGAGTGTTATAAATCCATTGCATTGTGTGGATTATCCATTAAATTTATTCAAGAATTAATTGGATTCATGTATGGGTGCTTCCAAGTTGATAAGAACCTTAAGGGATAACTATGTATCTACTAGTTTGGTGACCTTTAGGAGTGATATCTCAACACTATAAATAGAAATATCACTCAACATTTGAAATACACAATTGTATAAGAAGAAAATTTTTCTCCTTTATCTACATTTCTTATCTTCTTCTCTTTATACTTATATTTCTTTGAGCTTGATTTTATATTAGTCTAATATAAAATATTCGTGTAAAAAAAGACATAAAGCAAGTAGTACTACTTAAATAGAGCGACAAAAATAACACACCCTGGTTTTACTAGGTTGTTTCCACATCCCAACAAAGAATATATAGTTTAATTATTATCTTTTCATTAGCCTTTTCAATTCTTTTGAGTAATTATAATGGTATGTGTCATAATTATATTGGGAAGTGAGTGACAACTGACATACACTTATTTAATAGTATGTAAAAATCCAACCGATTAATAAATTGGATAAAAAAAATGTTATCGGGTAATTGTTATTGTGATATTGAGTTAATGAGTTTTTAATGATTTTATAAAATAAAATTATCAGGTTATTGATTCGATATTATGTTTTTAATATTGGGTTATTGAATAAATCGATAACCCATTAAAACAATAGTAATTCACTACTTTACCCCTACATAAACAATACCTTATTGGTTACTATCTCCGCAAGGTTGCACTTGTATAATTATTTTCAAGTTAATTACTTTTATTACCGTTTCTATTTTATGTGTATTCTGTAACGTTACATTATTGTCGTTGCGTCAAATTGTTGAAAAGGTCGTATAACTATTTTATAAACATTTTCTTATTGGTTAAACCGAAAACCGCCTTTAAAAATAAAAGAAACTGATAAAAAATATCATAATAATTTGATAATTGATTTAACGTATTTAAAAATTAAAAATCATTAAATCAAACCAATAATTCATAAAATCGAACCGATTCAACCGATTCACATAGCACACCCCTACATGTGAATAAACCGCGCCATATCGAGGTATTTGTCTTTTCGATTCTCTCTCACTAAACTGTATATAGAGATAGAGGGAGAGGAGCACACCAATACTTCTCGCTCTTTAATCTCCAAATCTCCACTCTACAGGTAAATCCACTTGCTTAACCTTCTGTTTTGTTTACCTTTTTGTGTTACTCATATTTGAAAAATATGCAAAAATTTTACTTATTTTCTAATGTTTGATAACAAAGTATTTATATACTTATAATCTACGAGAATATTATAGGGATAGGATGGAGTGGGCAGTGGGAGTGAGTTTGGGGGCGGCGGGGGTTGGAATGGTCGAGGGTTAGGAGTTGAAGGATAGAGAGAAGAGAGAAAAAGCCCAAAATAGTTCTTAAATTTTCACATGTTCATGTTTGCATTATTGGTACACTTTTGATCCTCTCTCAAACTTTTACTTATTTTTTAACATTAATTTTTTTTCATAATTTTATATATAAAATGTTCAATAATCTTTTCATATATTAATAATTACAGGTGAGAAAGGTGAGAAGAACAACATATTGTTTAGTTTAATAGAAATATTATTGCAGCGTGAAATCAACATGATGAACCTTTCAATTTTAGCTGCAATAATATTTGTACTAAACAAAACAAGATGTTTTCCTCTTATTTTCTCTCACATGGAGTTATTATTTCTAATATATATATATATATATTACATTTCATACATAAATTGTGGACAAAATTAATATTAAAATGTGTAAAAGTTTGGAGGACAAAAAATGCACCAATATTGCAAATATGAGAGATTATTAATGCTCTATGTGAATACTCAACATGACTTTTGAGTCTTAACCCAAAAATAAGGGACTGTTTTGGGCGTTTTCTTGGGAGAAGACAATGAACTTGGAAGATTGATTATAAAACTTATTTTTCCATTGCCACTAAAAAAATCAATTTTAAGGAATTTGCTCTTTTTTTTTAGAAAAATTATTTCACAAAATATTTTCCTCTTGTACCAAACACATGCTATATGTTGTAAACTATGACACTATGAACCTTGTGATCATGAGATAATTAACTTTTGAATTTTGGATTTTGCTTAAGATAAATAGGAGCAGATTGCGTCCAGTCAAAGACATGGATTCCACAATTTAATAGTGGTGCACACGCCATGGGAAACAAGTATTCGAAGGGAACAACTTCCATAAATAATGCTTCAAACTCGAGTTGTCTCGCTTCTTTTGAAAGTTTTCGAGTTCCTTTGGTAGCTTTGCAGGAAGCAACTAACAACTTTGATGACAAGTTGTTAGTTGGAATGGGTGTCTTTGGGAAGGTTTACATGGGTGTTTTGTGTGATGGCACAAAGGTCGCCCTGAAAAGGCGTAAGCATGAATCTGAACAAGGTATTGAAGAGTTCCTAACAGAAATTGAGACACTCTCTCAGTGCCGTCATCCCTATTTGGTTTCATTGATTGGATACTGTGATGAAAAAAATGAGATGATTCTAATTTACGACTACATGGAGAATGGGAACCTCAGGAGCCATTTGTATGGCTCAGATCTATGTCTACCCAATATGAGCTGGGAACAGAGGATGGAGATATGCATCGGGACAGCCAGAGGTCTTCAGTACCTTCATACTAGCGGAATTATACATCGTGATGTCAAGTCTACAAACATATTGCTTGATGAGAATTTTGTGCCAAAAATTACTGATTTAGGACTATCCAAGAAAGGGCCTGAGCTTGGTCAAACTCATGTTAGCACACTCGTGAAAGGATCTTATGGCTACTTGGACCCTGAATATTTTAGAAGGCAACAGCTGACAGAAAAATCTGATGTTTATTCCTTCGGTGTTGTTTTATGTGAAGTTCTTTGTGCTAGGCATGCCCTAGATCCATCTCTTCCGAGGGAGCAGGTCCACATAACTGAATGGGCAATGAAGTGGCAGAAGAAGGGAAAACTGGAACAAATCATAGATCCCAATCTTGTTGGCAAAATAAGACCAGATTCCCTCAGCAAGTTTGGAGAAACAGCGGAGAAATGCTTAGCCGATTATGGTGTAGATAGGCCATCTATGGGTGATGTGCTGTGGAATTTAGAGTATGCACTTCATCTCCAAGAGGCTTGTCATTCAAGATGATCCGGAAGAAAATGTTATTATCCGTGTTGGTGAGCTCTCTCCAACAAGTCAATGGTTTCAGTCATGTTGATGTCACTTCTACTGCATCATATGAAGATTAATTTTATGCATTTCTGACAATTTATTGTACAAATTTCTGAGTTTTATATCGAAAATTAACTTTGAAAACATGCATTGCTCTACCTGTTGATCCTATCTTCATTTTGTTGCATGTGTCAGATTGTTTAACATGTTGTATATGGTTTCTACTAAGTTATAGTACATAGAAAATCATTCTATTAAAAAGAATCCCTGGCCTCTTAAATCAGTGAAGGTACTAAATAACGTTTTGGAAAAAGGAACGTACTCAAATTTTTCAAGACTTTTAAGTGCTTGGAACTTGTAATTGATCACTGGAGATAAACTCTACTTCCTCCGTCCATCTTTACTTGTCCACTATATTATTTTGAGATATTCAACAATACTTGTCCAGTATATAAAATCGATGAACAATTTATCATGTTGCGTCTATTTTACCCTTATTATTAAATACTATTCATTTTAATGCTTATATTTAACAAGGGTGATTTGGTAAACTTGCCTCTATTAGTTACTGCTTCTTAATCTCTATGTTAAGTCAATAGTAGATAACTATTATTGAACAGAAGGAATATTTATCTACATTTATTTGCTTATATTTTATCAGCTCATCCCTATTTTACCATTCTATAATAAGTTCAAAAATGAATCAAGTTGACATAGTAATCACTTGTCACTGTATGTTGCTTTGAAACCAAACAAGTAGCAAGCCTGGAGGGAAAAGAAGAGTCAAGAGAGTGATGATGTATATACCTCTTCCATGCCTTTAAGTGGAGCATTTAGCCAACATCTGTTAGAGTTGAGAAATGAATTGATGGTCTTGGACAATCCTCTCTTTATGAGCTAACTTTTGAGGTTTAGTTAGACTTACACATCTTTACAAAATTGTCATAAAAATTAACAATGACTATCACAAACACGATAGGTTATAGACTTTTGAACTGATCGAAAAATAGCCCGATCGGTCGGTTTTTTGTAGTAATCTTTCTTACAGTCATTATTGGTTTTGAAAGCCATTTTATTGGTTGGATCAAAGATGCTCCATTTTAATAAACTTTAAGGCATTAAAAATGATAAAAATATACCTTATCCCTTATATAAGGAATAATTTTATCTAAAACTTCTTTAAAGTGTTTTTTCTTAATAATGGTATGTGTCAACTCCATTAATGGATCTTGTAAACTACACAACACTAAGCTAATGAAATGCAGAAAAGATACAGGGAAGCAAGAGAGAAAGAAAACTGTTTATTGATGCATTATTTCAGCTTACATTTCACCCACATGGAGCATGTATTTAGAGTAGTTAGTCTGACAACTAACAAACTCCCAAATAACTTGCTGACTCAGCTTTAACTCTAACTAACTTTTCTAACTACATCACATTTAACCATGGTAGCTTGCTAACCTACAACTGTGGTTAACACTCCTCCTCAAGCTCATGGTTTAAACAGGTTCATCATCCCTAGATCATTCATCAACAGTTGGTGTTGAGCTTTTCCCAGTCCCTTGGTCAGTAAGTCAGTCAATTGATCCATTGTATTTGTATACTGAGTTTTTAGTAAACCTTGACAGATTTTCTCCCTTACATGATGACAGTCAATATCTATACGTTTAGTCCTTTCATGGAAGATAGGATTTGCAGCAATTTGAATTGCTGCTTTGCTATCACAGACCATGGTTACTGGTAGTTCAATATGGACTCCAAATTCTTTAAACAATCCCACCAACCAAGTGATCTCAGCAGCACTATTTGCCATACTTTTGAATTCAGCTTCAGCTGAACTTCTGGATACTATCTCTTGTTTCTTTGACTTCCAGGATATCAATGCTCCTCCAAACTTGACTAGATAACCAGTTACTGATCTTCTTGTTTCACTGCAAGACCCCCAGTCAGAATCACAATATGCAAGTAGTTGACTGGTGTTTTCTGCTGGCATAAACAACCCCAGATCTGGAGCCTCTTTTATGTATCTGACTACTCTTAGTGCTTCCTCCATGTGAGATTCCTTAGGAGAGTGCATGTATTGACTCAGGACTTGGACTGAGAATGATAAGTCAGGTCTGGTCATGGTGAGATACAACAACCTTCCTACTAGTCTTTGGTATCTACTAGGATTCTGTAGTATAGGATTTTCATGCTTCTTTTCCAGTTTAATGCATTCATCAAATTGTACAGAGGTTAGCTTCTCATTTTGTTCTAGAGGAGTTGCAACAGGTCTGGCTCCACCTAGTCCACACTCAGCAATCCGTTCTAATGCATACTTTCTCTGTGACATATGAATTCCCCTACTTGATCTGGCACATTCAATCCCTAAGAAGAACTTGAGGTCACCCAGGTCTTTCATCTTGAACTGTTTCTGTAGATCCTCTTTAGTAGTGTCTATAAGTGATTGTCTGCTGCCAGTTATGAGTAGATCATCTACATAGACTAACACAATGACTATGTCAGTTTGCTCATGTTTGATAAAAAGTGAGTAATCATACTGGCTTTGATGAAAGCCTAACTGAATCAATACTTGTGTTAACTTGAAGTTCCATTGTCTAGGAGCCTGTTTAAGGCCATATAGAGACTTGTGCAGTTTGCACACTTTAGTACCATTCTCCCCCTGTCTAGCAAACCCTGAATGAATGGACATGTACACCTTCTCAAGAAGATCACCATTGAGAAATGCATTGTGAACATCCATTTGTTGGACAGACCAACCTTTAAAAGCAACAACAGACCGACGATCACCATTTTAGCCATAGGACTGAACGTTTCTCCATAGTCCAGACCCTCCCTTTGACTATAGCCCTTGGCAACTAGCCTGGCCTTCAACCTCTCAACTTCTCATGTGGACTTGTACTTAACTTTATATATCCATCTGCACCCAATGGGCTTTTTACCGTGGGTAAATCAACCACTGACCAAGTGTTATTCTGTTCTAAGGCATCTATCTCAAGTTGCATGGCATGAACCCACTGAGGATCAAGGGAAGTTTCCCTAAATGAAGAATGCTCAGTGATTGCAGAGAAAGCATTGAGACAGGACTGATATGAAGGAGACAAATTGGTATATAAGACATGATTGGAAATAGGAAAGACACAAAAATTGCTTTTAGGCTTAGTAACAAAGTCTTGAAGCCACAAAGGAGGTTTGACAGGTCTAGAGGACTTTCTGGGAGGAGGAGGTTGAGTAGGAGGTGGTAGAGATTCTTCTGTAAGTGAGGAAGGCATAGTAGGAGAGGGGATGGCAACAGTTGGAGGAGGAACTACAGGGTGCTCATGAGATGAGGAGTCCACATCATCAGAAAACACCATAGTAAGAACTGGAAAAACAAGATCAGATGAGGGCTTAACATCCTTAAAAGGAAACACATCCTCTTTAAACACTACATGTCTGCTAACAAACAGGGACTTGGAGTGGAGATCATATAAGAGATAGCCTTTTTGAGAATTGGAGTAGCCTAATAGTGCTGCAGGAATGGCTCTAGGAGAGAACTTATCAGAAATCTTAAGACAAGTAGCATATCATAGACAGCCAAAAGTCCTTAGATGAGAAAGAGATGGAGGATGGTTGTAAAGCAACTCAAAAGGAGATTTATAGGACAAAAGTTTAGAAGGAAGTCTGTTGAGAATATACACTGATGTGGTGACACACTCACCCCAGAATCTCAAAGGGACAGCAGCTTGGAATCTGAGGGCTCTTGCCATGTCTAAAATGGTTCTATGCTTTCTTTCAGCCACCTCATTCTGTTGGGGGGGTATATACACAAAAACTTTGATGTGAAATGCCAAGAGAGGACAACAGAGATTGACAAGAGTGACTAAAGAATTCACTTCCATTATCAGTTCTAAAAACTTTAACACATGTGGAAAATAATGTTTGAACCTGAGCAAAAAAATTTCTGAGCACTACAATTGTGTCTGATTTAGATGCTATGAGAAATAACCAGGTGAATCTAGAGAAATCATCAACAATGGTTACAAAGTATTTCATCCCAGCATAAGTGGGAACCTGTAAGGGCCCCAAATGTCACAGCGAACTAAATCAAACAATGCCTTGGAATTGTGACTACTTACAGGAAAATGAAGTTTTGACTGCTTAGCTAGTGGACAGACAGTACAGGGAGGACTTATTACATTCTCTAATCCATCTAGACTTCCAGATTTCTTCAGTATTTCCACATGAGCATGCCCTAGCCTTCTGTGCCATAAAGTGCTGGAGTCAGTGTTACTAGTAATTGGAGGTTGACTGCATGATGTATGTGCTGCTGAGTGTGTGAAGTCATCTTTGAGGATGTAGAGACCTTGATCTTCTCTACCAATCCCCTTGACCTGTCCATTTGAGAGATCCTGTAAACCACAAAATTCAGGGAAGAACACAACCATGCAATTGAGTTCCTTTATTAATTGTGACACAGACAATAAGGTGCATTTGAAGTCAGGCACAAAGAGAACATTTCCAATCACATTGTCCCCAAGAACAGTAGTACTACCAATATGTGACACTGACACAACATTTCCATTGGTAGATTAACCTGTCTTCTTTCAGATTTAGGAGCAGTGGTGAATTGATTTAAAATGTCAACCTTAGATGTCATGTGATTAGAAGCTCATGTGTCAATGATCCACTCATTATCTACATGTTTGGTCACTAGTGCAGATAGAATTCTACCTGCTGTAGCAGCCTTAGTTGAGGAATCTCCACCAGTGTCACTTCATTTAGCTAGAAGTTGCATGATTTGATTATACTGATCTGATGTAAAGAAGGCTGCAGGAGATGTAGAGGGCAGGTTGGCTGGAAAATTTTCTCCAATATGTGTGGATCCTGCTGGATTAGGAGCTTCAACATGATTAACAAAAGAACTTACATTACCAGTTTTCCTCTTTGACTTCTAGCCAACTGGATATCCTTTGACCTTGAAGCACTGATCCTTGGTGTGTCATCTGAACCCACAGACTTCACATACAATGAGAGGCTTCTGAGTTCTGTTTGGATTATATTGACTGTCATAGTGACCTCTCCCTTGATTACCACCATTACCTCATAGTTGATGTCCAAAAGGAACATTATCAGGCTGACCTCTACCTGAGTTACCATTATTTCCTCCTTTCTGACTGAACATAGCTGTACTCTCAACAATCTTAGAAAGAGAGACTTCATGACCTGCTAAGTTCCTCTGACTTTCATGATCTATAACCAGAGAAAACACTTTGTTGAGATTAGGAGTTGGAGACTGCATCAAAATTTGACCCCTAGCTGCTGAGTAGGTCTCATTTATCCCCATTAGAAACTCCAGTACCCTTTGATACTCACAATGCCCTTGGAATCTTTTAGATTCAGGACAATTACATCCTGGACATGGCATAATAGAGTCATACTCATTCCAAAGTCCTTTAAGTGTAGTGTAGTAATCAGTCACTGACATTGTTCCCTGAGTTAAGCTGTGTATTTCCTTATGAAGTTGAAACACATGAGCTCCATTGATTTTATCGAACCTTTCTCTTAGATCACACCACACTTTATGAGCATCTCCACTGTATACTATACTGCTAAGTAATTCAGGCCTCACAGCATTCATGATCCATGAGAGCACTACAACATTACATTTTCCCCATATATCACACAGTTCAGTAGAGAATTTAGACTTAGGAAATCGACCATCTATGAACCCTAGTTTACTCTTTCCTACCAGTCCTATACGCATAGATCTATTCCAAATAGCATAGTTCTCTGAGCCACTAAGCTGAAGAGAGATGAGGGAGCTACCTGGAGTATCATTAGGTTGTAGGTACAGTGGCTGATTGTGATCAATGGTAGGAACAATGAAACTCATCGATCCACCAGTTGAATGTCCTTGTGTTGCATTTGATTGCAGGTTTGCAGCAATTTCAGCTGGATTTTCCATGGATCTCAGCTTAGAAAGGATTGATGCTTACTTGCGACTTCGAAGGACTTTCAGCTTCGAATCTAAGCACCTCTGCTGCTTCTGCTCGTGATCTTCACTTCCCTAGGATCGTGTTGTGATCTGATACCATGTCAACTCCACTAATGGAGTGCTTGTAAACTACACAACACTAAGCTAATGAAATGCAGATAAGATACAGGAAAGCAAGAGAGATAGAAAACTGTTTATTGATGCATTATTTCAGCTTACAGTTCACCCACACGGAGCATTGATGTCCAAACTTACACTTCGAATAAGAAGTGTAAACGGTCGTTGTCAATTTACAGAACTCAACTAGAGTTGAGGTCGATCCCATAGAGAATTTCTTTACAGATAAGGTTTTACTGTCGCGTTTATTCGAATGTTGTTATTATCTCCTAAACAAATAATAACAGAAAGTAACTTGGGTTTGGTTGAAATGTTATATTTACCAAAGCATACAGTTAAAATCCAAATTCACAACTACTGATTATCTCGTTATAAGGTTGATTCAATTAATTAAGAGAAACTAGAATTGTGATCACCATGACATTAGTTCTAGTTTTCTTCCATAATTAGGCGTTAGGCAAATCAATGTTTACAGAATCATTGCAAGTTAAATTTATCTGACACTTCTCAGTCTAGTCAGATAATTATCACTCATGTTCTCTCGACCCTAGAGTGTTACTAACATCGACCCTCGTTTACAATGACATGGTGTTAAAGTTCTTTTCTCTCGAACATAAGCTTTAACTCCAGTTTATTAATTTAGTTCAGCTTTTTCCTAAATGGTATTTTTCTCTCAAACAAATGCCAGATACAGGCTCATCTAATGCGTGCACTCACTAGATTCTACTGAAATTGAAAGCTAAAGCTACAGATTGTAAAACACAGACTGCCCTTTACTCGTTTTATGGAATCGTAACTAGAATTTCGTCATGGATCCCACAACCCCAGTCATGGTATTTAGCCACTCATGCTTTCACGAGAATAATCAGTAATGAAGAATGAAAACATGTTAAGAAAGACTCACGAAAATAATTTGTAAATCAACAATCACTTCAATAATCTGATAATCTGAATTCGAACTTCAAACTAATAACAATAATCAAAACCCCAAATCAAAAGCTAAGAGTAACGCTGTATTTCTTAGTCGTAAAACGTAAGATAATGAATAATTCTTCAAAAAAAAAACCTTAAGTAATTCAAAATAGAATGTTTAAAATGAGTCATAATCGAATTAGGACTGAGTTGTCGGGCCTTTTCACGGCCATTCCCACGACCCGTCAAGGGCTTCACGGTCCGTGAAGCCCTCCGTGGTCTTGCCTTTGTCACTGGAAAATGCACCCCAAGAGCTACCATGATCCGTAGTGAGGACCACGGTCCGTGAAGTCGCCCGTGGTCTTCACTTGGGTTTCAACCTTCTTTCAACTCTTCCTTGCTTTCACACTGGTTTAGCTTCACGGCAGGTACCACGGTCTGTGGTGAGGACTACGGCCTGTAGAACCCTCTGTGGTCTTCACTTGGTTATTCCTGCTCTTCATCTTCTCAAGGCCCAGCACTACCTCACTTTAATGAGCTCAACCACGGACCGTAATAAAGTTCACGGTCCGTGAAGTTGGCTGTGAACTTCACTTGGTCAACATCAGTTCTGCTTCTTTTTCCACTTTTCTATACAACCCAGATTCTGCCTACACATTTAACAAACCCATTAAATAATCCAAAATTTCACTTAATTCCAGTATTAGTTCATAGTTATTAAGCATCAAATGTGCCACGATTTCGCGGCACATCAAGCATGTATTTATAGGCAGAGTAGTTAGTCTGACAACTAACAAACTCCTAACTAACTTGCTGACTCAGCTTTAACTCTAACGAACTTTTCTAACTACATCACATTTAACCATGGTAGCTTGCTAACCTACAACTGTGGTTAACAGTATGTGTGATATTGGGGTGTGAGTGTGACATACACTTACTGATAAAAAACAATGAGACATATTCGAAAGTTATTTAGTGGGTTGGCATGGCGCCAGATATAGGTATTTTTCTTTTTGATTCTCTCTCACTAAACAGTTTGTACAGTAATACTTCTGAGTCTATGAGTTTTGAATTTTGATTAAGATAAATAGGAGCAGCTTGCCCAATCAAAGATATGGATTTCACAAATTATTAGAAGTTGCACTCTACACAAAATGGGAAACAATTATTCGGAAAAAAACAAGTTTCATATATAGCATTTCAGAGCCGAACTGTCTGGCTCCTTCTAAAAGTTTTCGAGTTCCTTTTGTAGCTATGCAGGAAGCAACTAACAACTTTGATGAGAGTATGGTCATTGGAGTGGGTGGCTTTGGAAAGGTTTACAGGGGTGTTTTATGTGATGGCACAAAAGTGGCCTTGAAAAGGTGTGGTCCTGAGTCTTTACAAGGTGTGGTCCTCAGTTGAGTGTCATATCTTTACAAAATTGTGACAGTTTTATAGACTTTTGAACTGATCGAAAAATCGCCCGTTTTTTGTAGTAATCTTTTTTACAGTCATTATTGGTTTTGAAAGCCATTTTATTGGTGGGATCAAAAGATACTCCACTTTAATAAACTTTTAAGGCATTAAAAATGATAAAAATATACCTTATCCCTTATATAAGGAATAATTTTATCTAAAACTTTTTAAAAGTGTTTTTCTTTTTATTAATTAATAATAATGGTATGTGTGATAATTATATTGGGGTGTGAGTGTGACATGCACTTACTGATAAAAAACAAAGAGACATATTCAAAAGTTACTTAGTGGGTTGGCATGGCGCCAGATATAGGTATTTTTCTTTTTGATTCTCTCACTAAACAGTTTGCACATTAATACTTGTGAGTCTATGAGTTCTGAATTTTGATAAAGAGGAGCAGCTTGCCCAATCAAAGATATGGATTTCACAAATTATTAGAAGTTGCACTCCACACACAATGGGAAACAATTATTCGAAAAAAACAAGTTTCATAAAGAGCGTTGCAGAGCCGAGTTGTCTCACTCCTTTTGATAGTTTTCAAGTTCCTTTTGTGGCTTTGCAGGAAGCAACTAACAACTTTGATGAGAGTTGGGTAATTGGAGTGGGTGGCTTTGGAAAGGTTTACAGGGGTGTTTTATGTGATGGCACAAAGGTCGCCTTGAAAAGGTATGGTCCTGGGTCCAAACAAGGTCTTGTCGAGTTTCTAAAAGAGATTGAGACGCTCCCTCAGTTCCGTAATCCCTATCTGGTTTCATTGATTGGATACTGTAATGAAACAAATGAGATGATTCTAATTTATGAGTACATGGAAAATGGGAATCTCAGTAGCCATTTGTATGGCTCAAATCTACCCACTTTGAGCTGGGAGCAGAGGCTGGAGATATGCATCGGGGCAGCCAGAGGTCTTCACTACCTTCATACTAGCGGAGTTATACATCGTGGTGTCAAATCTACAAACATATTGCTTGATGAGAATTTTGTGCCAAAAATTACTGATTTTGGACTATCCAAGAAAGGGCCTGAGCTTGATCAAACTCATGTTACCACATTCGTGAAAGGAACTATGGGCTACCTTGACCCTGAGTATTATAGAAGGCAACAGCTGACAGAAAAATCTGATGTTTATTCTTCGGTGTTGTTTTATGCGAAGTTCTTTGTGCTAGGCCTGTCGTAACTCCATCTCTTCCGAGGGAGCAGATCAACTTAGCTGGATGGGCGATGAATTGGCAGAAGAAGGGACAACTGGAACAGATCATAGATCCCAATCTTGTTGGCAAAATTAGACCAGATTCCCTCAAGAAGTTTGGAGAAACAGTGGAGAAATGCTTAGCCGATTATGGTGTAGAGAGGCCATCTATGAATGAGGTGCTGTGGAATCTGGAGTATGCACTTCATCTCCAAGAGCCTGTCATTTAAGATTATCCAGAAGAAAATGGTCCCATCCATGTTAGCAACCTCTCTCCATTAAGTCAATGGTTTCAGGCATGTTGATGTCAGTTCTTCTGCTGCTCAAATGGAGAAATCAAATTTAGATGATCGCACTAGTAGTCTGGGGTCCGAGGGTGGATAACTATGTGAATGAGGTACATACCATCTTTAAGTGTTTGTCAATTCCACATTTGTTCATGCCTCATATATATGAAGATTGATTTTATAATGTGCTTCTAACAATTTATTTCTACAAATATCTGAGTTTTCTATAGAAAGTTAACACTCTAAACATGCCTTAATTGCTCTACCTGTGGAATATCTCTATGAGTTTTATATAGAAAGTTTCACATTATTCATACATAAAAAAATTATTCTATTAACATCTTGTCAGCAAAAAGGCTTTTCAAAACATTAAACAATTTTGAGCTCTAGAACGTAATTCGTTGATACCTATATTCCCTCATCATGTTGCAACCTTGCGGAAGCAAAAACATGGTAATCCATTTTCTTATTGTAAATAGGCAAACGGAAGTTGGCATTGTGTAACGACTCCTCTAGGATCTCTAAGAGACTGTCCCTCACATATGTTGGAAAAAACGTGGACTAACACAAAAATATATGGCCAAAACTCCTCTCAAGATTCCTCTTTTTTATTTTCCTCTTTGTCGTCTTTGTTCTCCTTCTTCAACTTCCGGCAAAATTTTTGTGCTCTTTCATGGCACAATGATAACACTCAATATTCTTAAGTCTGCCTCTGGATTTGCTTATATTATATTATATTCTAAGAACCATGGTTCTTGATTCTCCCCCTATGACTAGACACTAGGACATTCGACGAAGAAGAACCTTGAATTTTTCTTCTCATTTCTTTGTTCAAGACGTTGCTCTTGACGAGATTCATAGAGATCACATCATCCGTAACAGAATTTAATAATGAAGTTCTAAATGTTTCCCAAGAGTCTGGTAGTGAACCAAGTAGAAGCAAGCCTTGAATTTCTTCATCAAATTTAATGCCCATAGCAAATAACTTGTTCATGATCTCCTCTAAGTTATTCAGATGATTTGTCATCGGAGAACTATCATGATAGTTTAAGCTTAACATCCGTTTTATTAAGAACATTTTATTGTTTTTAGTCTTCCGAGAATATAAACTTTCAAGATACTTCCATAGGGTCCGAGCATTTGTCTCTACAGAAATATGGTTCAATACATTGTCATCAATCCATTGCCTAATAAATCCACAAACTTGTCTGTGCAATAGATTCCACTCTTCATTTGTTTTATCATCAGGCTTTATAGTGATAAAGATTGGTTGATAAACATTCTTAATATAGAGCAGATCTTCCATTTTCCCCTTCCAAATAGCATAATTAACTCCATTCAAAATAATCATTCTAGTTGTGTTGGCTTCAATCGTTTCCCCAAAATAAAGATATTGCAAATTAAAACTCTTATATCAATCTATTGGAAAAAACGAGGACTAACACAAAATTATATACGATCAATATAATGAGGATAAAATGAGAAAAACAATGACACCAAAAATTTTACGTGAAGCAGTTGATATCACTATAGTAAGAAATTTTATACTATATAGTCACAAGTACAATACTCAAAGCGAGTACTACACACTAAAAAAATAACCCTCTTATAATTTTCCCATCTCACTAAAATATTATTCACACTTTATTTTTCATTCACAGACTATTTTCTTGTATAGTCTATGATAAACTTACTTTGCTCTCTAATATTTTCTCTATGTTTTTGGTGTTAAATGAGAGCAGAAGCTCTCCATTTATAAGAGAAATATATCCTATTAATGTCATTAATGACATCAATGAAAAGAAACCATTCAAACATCTTTTGACATTTTTACAAATAAAGGCTCTTCGACATTTTTGCACCCTTGCAGCTTTTGAAGACATTTGAGCAGCAAATGAAAACTTTGAATAATTGGATGGACCCCACAACATATTCTGTTCTTTTCATTTCAGATTCATGTTTTTAATTTTCTCTACTTTATCTGTATAACTAGATTTTGTTGCCCGTGTTATGCGGGCCCAATAACATAAATGGTATGTTTTGGGGCTAATAACGAAGTTTTTGAAGTGATTGTTTGCGTGGATAAAGGAATAAGTTTTTTTATCACAAACTTGTACTTTCTTTGACGCTATTCAAGGCACAATAAGACTACCCACATACAATATTTTTGAACAATTTTATGTTGTCAATTATCACGATTTAATTTTAAGAATCAATCAAATTTTTTTCTGTTTTTTTAATAAATATTTTAAGTTGTCAATTATCACGATTAATTGTATTTTATACATAATTTTTAACGATAGATTAATTTCAAGAATCAATCGAATTTTTTTAAATGTATTTATTTTTGAAATATTTTATGTTGTCAATTATCATGATTTATAGTATTTTTACGCAATTTTTAAATATAAAAAATTTAAAAAAATAAGACAAATAAATTAAAATGGACCCAATATATGTTATTTTTGTTGTCTCAATTTATGTGACACAAATGAAATTTGGAGAGTCATTGAATATTATATATTATACTTGGGCATAAACTCTCTTACGCACGGGCCCAATAACTATTATTTTTTGTCCTAATGTTTGTAACACAGATAAAATATAGTGAGTTATTTAAATTTAATATGATTTTTAAATATTTTAAGTTGTTAATAATGTAATTTATAATATTTTTACGTAATTTGTAAATACTTAATATATATTACTCCACTTGTCTCAATGTATGTAGCATAGATAAAATTTCAAGAGTTAATCAAATGTTGTTAATTGTTAAGATTTACAATACATTTTACGTAGCTTTCAGTAATTTGACATTAAATAATACATATTACTACTTTTGTCTCATTTTATGTGACATTGATAGATTAATTTTAAGAATCAGTCAATTTCTTTTTT